TCAGAATTCAATATGCTCCATTTCATATCTAAAATAAATAAATAAATAAAAACTCTAAAGAAAAACAATCATCTTTATCCAACTTCAGAATCTTTCTATTTCTTTGTCTATGTATTTATGTTACAGCCAAATCTTGTTTGGCTCTCTAGCCTTGTCAGTCCATGTTAAGCATTATTATGCACAATTCTCCACCAACCTTTTTATAAGTTAATGAAACTATAATTCTCTCACTACAATACATTTTATAAGTTAATGAAATTATAATTCTCTCACCCACAGCTAACTAGTTGTTTTATTGCATGCAATACGTTTTTATAAGTTAATGAAACTATAATTCTCTCACCCACAGCTACTTAGCAAAAATAAATAAATAAGAACATAAAAAGAAATAAAAAAAAAAAAAAAAACCGTAATAGGAAAACAATCATCTTCATCGAACTTCAATCATCCAACTTCAGAACCTTTCTATTTCTTTGTTTATACATGTATTTATTTTACAGCTAAATCTTATTTGTCTCTCAAGCCTTGTCAGTCTATGTTAACCATTATTAGGCACATTTCTCCACCTACTTTTTTATAAGTTAATGAAACTATAATTCTTTCACCCACCAATATGTAGTTGTTTTATTGCATGCAATACCTTTTGATAAGTTAATAAAACTATAATTCTCACACTGACTGCTACCTAGTTGTTTTATTGCATTCAATACTTTTGTATAAGTTAATGAAACTATAATTGTCTCACCGACCGCTACCTAGTTGTTTTATTGCATTCAATACTTTTTTTATAAGTTAATGAAACTATAATTCTCTCACCGACCGCTATCTAGTTGTTTTATTACAAACAATACCTTTTTATAAGTTAATGAAACTACAATTCTCTCGCCCACAACTACCTTTTTTAGATTTTTTTTTTGTACAAATATTATATATATATATGGGCAAATTACACTGACTTCCTATAAAATTTGAGCAAATTACAAACAAGTACCCTATATATTGTTGGGCATCACCCTCTTATATTTTCTTGCTCCTGAAAATTTAGAATCGAATCGTTCCCAACAAATTTTTAAAAATTAGAACCAGAACCGTTATAACATAAAATCGAGCCGAAATGAAAAGATCCGATTTAGTTCGGTTCCACAATTACTATTATATAAATTTGAAAAAAAAAAAAAAAATTTACTTCAAAAAGAAAAAACTGATTGTCAAACATTAAAATATTAATTGTCAATATTACATCCTAATTTGGCAATCTTGAACACAGTATCCACAATTAAGCAGATTTGGTTCTTCTTCCCAAGCAAAAATCAATTTAGCTTTTGAGAGACAGAAACATATGGGATAAAGGTTGCAAACACCTCGTGTTTTTTAAAAGAACATAGTAGTTGTCCAGTTAAAAGTGTACATGTTAAAGAGTACCCTTAAATTCAAATACCTCTTCAAAATACTTCCTTTCTTTTTTCTTCAGATTAACAATTATTCATTATTATAAATCATCATCAGCCATCAATCACCTAATTAAATTAATATGCATATCACTTATTAAAGAATTTGAAACAGGGTGGGTTTGACGAAAACCAATTTTAGCGAGTTTGGATTTTAATTTTAAATTCAAATTTGAAACGAGTTAAATATAGGTCTCTGTTTAAAAGATCTGCCATAAATTTAGTTCGAACATAAATATTATTTTATCTGAAATTTAAATTAAGACCAATCAAGTATATTATTGTTCACATTATACAATTCAAATTTGGAACTTAACATTAAAATATGAATTCAAATTAGAATTCAATATGCTCCATTTCACATCTAAAATAAAAACAAAAATAAATAAATAAAAATGTAAACGAAAAACAATTATCTTTATCCAACTTCAGAACCATTTCATTTTTTTTATCTTTGTATTTATGTTACATTGTTACACTAAATCTTGTTTGGCTCTAGAAACTTGTTAGTCTGTGTTGACCATTATTAGAGTAGAGTTATAGTAGTTCAAGCTGTAAATGTGGATAGGCTTTTCCAATCATTATTCTTCTTCCTTCTTCTGCTCCTACGGGGAATTGTAGCTGGTGTTCCAAGACATTTCTCCACCTACCTTTTATAAGTTAATAAAACTATAATTAATTCTTTCATCGGGTCTTTTGTTTAAAAGATCTGTTATGAATTTACTCCGCATATAAATATAATTTTATCTGAAATTCAAATTAAGACCAATCAAGTATATTATTGTTTACATGACACGAGTCAAATTTGGATCTTAGCATTAAAATATGAATTCAAATTAGAATTCAATATGCTCCATTTCACATCTAAAATAAAAACAAAAATAAATAAGAACGTAAAACAAAACAATACTCTTTATCCAACTTCATAACCTTTCCATTTCTTTATCTATGTATTTATGTTACAACTAAATCTTGTTTGGCTCTCGCGCCTGATCAGTTTATGTTAACTATTATTTTGCACATTTCTCCACCTACCTTTTTATAAGTTAACCGCTACCTAGCTAATTGTTTTATAGCATTTAATACATTTTTATAAGTTAATGAAATTATAATTCTCTCACCCACAATTGCGTAGTTGTTTTATTACATGCAATACCTTTTTACAAGTTAATGAAACTATAATTCTCTCACTAACCACTAGCTAGCAAAAATAAATAAATAAGAACATAAAAGGAAATCAATCATCTTTATCCATAGCCTTGTCGGTCTATGTTTACCATTTTTACGTATTTTTTTCCACTTATCTTTTTATAAGTTAATGAAACTACGATTCTCTCATCGATCGCTACCTAGTTGTTTTATTGCATGTAATTTAATCAAACTATAATTCTCTCATCGACCGCTACGCAGTTTTTTTTATTACATGTAATACATTTTTATAAGTTAATGAAACTATAATTCTCTCGGCAACCAATACACAGTTGTTTTATTACATGCAATACTTTTTTATAAATTAATGAAACTATAATTCTCTCACCCACAACTACCTTTTTTAGTGTTTTTTTGTGTACATATATTATATATATATGAGAAAATTACACTAACCTCCCATAAAATTTAAGCAAATTACACATAAGTATCCCATAGATTGTTGGGCATCACCCTCTTATATATTCCTTCTCCTGAAAATTTAGAATCGAAATCGAATTGTTCCCAACAAATCCTTAAAAATTATAATCGGAACCGTTATAACATAAAATCGATCCAAAATGGACCATGAAGACCGATCCGATTTAGTTCGGTTCCACAATTACTAATATATAAAATTTGAAAAAAAAAATTTGTTTACTTAAAAAAAAAAAAACTGATTGTCAAACATTAAAATATTAATTGTCAATATTACATCCTAATTTCGAAATACATCCTGATTTGACAAATTTTGAACACAGTATCCACAATTAAGCAAATTTTGAACACAGTATCCACAAATTTTGAACACAGTATCCATAATTTAAAAAATCAGAATTTAGCTTTTGAGAGACAGAAACTATGGGATAAAGGTTGCAAACACCTCGTGTATTTTAAAAGAACCTAGTAGTCGTCTGGTTAAAAGTGTGCATATTTAAAAGATCTATCATGAATTTAGTTCGAATATAAATATAATTTTATCTAAAACTCAAATTAAGACCAATCAAATATATTATTGTTCACAGGACACAATTCAAATTTGGATCTTAACATTAAAATATGAATTCAAATTAGAATTCAATATGCTCCATTTCACATCTAAAATAAAAGTAAAAATAAATAAATAAGAACGTAAAAGGAAAATAACTATCTTTATCCAACTTCAGAACCTTTTCATTTCTTTGTTTATGTATTTATGTTACAACAAAATCTTGTTTGGCTCTTGAGCCTTGTCAGTCTATGTTGACCATTATTATGCTGTTATGTACAGTATTTACATTTTTCTAGTAATTTAATGAAATTATAATTTTCTCACCGACCATTACCTAATTGTTTTATTATATACAATACATCTTTATAAATTAATGAAACTATAATTCTCTCACCCACTGCTAACTAGTTGTTTTATTATATTCAATACCTTTTTATAAATTAATGAAATTATAATTCTTTTATCTACAGCTAACTAATTGTTTTATTGCACGTAAATTTTATACGTTAATGATACTATAATTGTCTCACCCACCGGTAGGTGGTTGTTTTATTGTGCGCAATAGCAAGGTAGGGTATATTATATGACATTTTTGCTTCTTCCCTGTACATAAAAACAACACAAGAGTGTAGAGAGAGTGAGACGTGTTTATTAATATCTTATTTAAGGTAAAATCTTTAGATTTCATATCCATTCTTTTATTGTATGACCAATATTTGCATGCTTTATAAGTAAGTTAATGCTTAATAGAAGTGGTTCATCTATAAATCATTAGCAGGAAATGATATATGCATTTCAATAAGAAAAAAAAAAAAAATCATGAATGTCTCATCGTCCATAACTATTATGGGATAAATCTAATGTCCAAATTTTATTTTGTGATTTGAATTGACAAATTTTAAAATAGTAAAATATGTTTAAAATAAATAGAATTAGGAACAATATTAACAAATTTCTGAAGAATGTAATGTGTTGAAATACTACGAAAAACAATCATCAAATTTAAAATTTACCATGCAACTATAGTCACTTTATATTTTAACAAGAAATTATTTCAACTCTAATTTAGTACAAATTACAAATATAGAAATGGAATTACATTTCAAAAACTTTTAATTCCTTTGTCATTATCAAATCCCAAAAAATAAAATAGATAAAAATAATAATTAATAATTAAACTTGAAGTAAGAGTTGCCTTGTTTGTAACTAAATTTTTTTAAAATTTGGAAATAGAATTGGAATAAGAATTGGATTGTAATTAAAATAAGATTTATTGCAGTTCTTAATAAATTAGAAAAAAGGGAATTTGAGAAGAAAAAAAAAAAAATTATACGAATTTGGATAAGGATTTTTAATCCTAGATTCCGAACATAGCGTTAGTTATCAGTGAGAACACAACCCCTCTCCCCTTTTCAGACCAAATCTAGGTTTCTGTCTCATGGATCTGCTACAGTCATACAAAGGCGACGCCGACGACGAGCAATTCGATCGTAACCCTAATTTCACAACCACCGATCACTCATCACCACCATCTCCAGACTTGTCCCCTCTCCGAATGTCTCTCCCCTCCAAATCCTCCGCCCCAAAAGTCGACGACACCATGCTCGCTCTCACCGTCGCCAATTCCAACCGAGCCCTAACCAAACCCCTCGACCCCTCCCACCACGTCGTCGCCTTCAACCCCACCTATGACCAGCTCTGGGCTCCCATCTACGGTCCTGCCCACCCCTACGCTAAGGACGGCATCGCCCAAGGCATGCGCAACCACAAATTAGGGTTTGTCGAAAACGCCGCCATCGAACCCTTCATCTTCGACGAACAGTACAATACCTTTCACAAATACGGCTACGCCGCCGACCCCTCCGCCTCCGCCGGGAACAACCACGTCGGCGATTTGGATGCGTTGAAGCAAAGCGACGCTATATCGGTGTATAATATACCCCAACACGAGCAGAAAAAGAGGAAGCTTGAGAAGAAGAAGGAGGCAACTGAGGGTGATGAAGCGAACGGTGGTGATGGTGTGGATTCGGAAGAGGTTGAGAATCCGGCGTCGGAGGTTTGGTTGATGAGGAATCGGAAGAGTCCTTGGGCTGGGAAGAAGGAGGGTTTGCAAGCGGAGTTGACGGAGGAGCAGAAGAAGTACGCAGAGGAGTATGCTAAGAAGAAGGGTGAACTGAAGAATGGCGAAAAGGGTGAGGTTGTTGCAGATAAGACTACCTTTCACGGGAAGGAGGAGAAGGATTTTCAAGGCAGGTCGTGGATTGCGCATCCTAAGGATGCCAAGGCTACGAATGATCATTGCTACATACCAAAGCGTTTAGTGCATACATGGAGTGGGCACACAAAGGGTGTTTCTGCAATCAGGTTCTTCCCCAAACATGGGCATTTGATTCTCTCTGCAGGGATGGACAGTAAGGTGAAAATTTGGGATGTTTGTAATTCAGGCAAGTGTATGAGGACTTACATGGGGCATGGAAAGGCTGTTCGAGATATTTCATTTTGTAAGGATGGGAGTAAGTTTTTGAGTGCTGGGTATGATAAGAATATCAAGTACTGGGATACAGAAACCGGACAGGTGATATCGACATTCTCGACTGGGAAGATACCTTATGTGGTTAAGCTCAACCCGGACGAAGATAAGCAGAACATTCTTCTAGCAGGAATGAGTGATAAGAAGATTGTTCAGTGGGACATGAATAGTGGGCAAATTACTCAAGAGTATGATCAGCATTTGGGAGCGGTTAATACGATCACATTTGTAGACAATAACAGAAGATTTGTTACCTCTAGTGATGACAAATCTCTTCGCGTTTGGGAATTTGGGATTCCGGTGGTTATAAAGTATATAAGTGAACCCCACATGCACTCAATGCCATCCATATCTCTTCATCCGAATACAAATTGGCTAGCAGCACAGAGTTTGGACAATCAGATTCTTATATACAGCACTAGGGAAAGATTTCAGCTCAATAAGAAGAAGAGGTTCGCTGGGCACATAGCGGCTGGATATGCATGCCAAGTCAACTTTTCACCGGATGGTCGGTTTGTCATGTCAGGAGATGGTGAGGGTAAATGCTGGTTTTGGGATTGGAAGAGTTGCAAAGTTTTTAGAACTCTCAAGTGTCATGAGGGAGTGTGCATTGGTTGTGAGTGGCATCCATTGGAGCAAAGTAAAGTAGCGACGTGTGGCTGGGATGGCTTAATCAAGTACTGGTAAGAAATCTAATGATCAATACATCATAATAGTTCTTATATTTGCTTATATATTACTGTCATGATATGATGCATGTGTTACAGTATATAACTCTTTCAAATTTTATTCTTGTTGTGTGCTTTCATTTTCAAATCACTAGACTACTTTGAAGAGTCCCTTAAGAAGTACGTTTTATTAACTGGTGCATTGTGATATAAGTGGATGGGCTAACAATTACAGTAGGAAATTCTTATTTTACTTTTTCCCTTGAAACAACACAATTGTTAATATGTAAGGATATAATTATAAAATCAAAAACCTTTCTTTGTTCTCTATATGTCCTGCTCAGCCAAACAAAACAAGGAAAAGGCAATTCTTTCCATTTACATACCTTTTTCATTACTTTTACCTTTCCTACCTTGCTTTCAAATGCTCTTCCTTTATACTAGATAGGGCATTAGTGTAGACTGGTAGTTTAAAATAATAATAATAATAAAAGAAAAGAAAAAAGTGAGAAAAATAACGTATTGAAGGTTATACAAAATATCTACAAGATATACAACGTAGTGGATTGTAGTGGCTGTAATGCATTCTGATATTCATTTTTTTCGTTATCAACCGTAGAATCATACCCTTACCCCTTGTCCTTGCATGCTAGCGCCTTTCCATAGTTGTAGAACGGCTTTGGCATGATGTTGTAATATCCTCGCCTGATCTATTCATGAAAAAGGATAGTCAAAGCACTCAACAATCCCTTTTGAAATATTCTCTTCTTCTGTAATTTAAACCAAGGCACTTTTCTTTTCTTTTCTTTTTTTTTTCTTTATTTATTTCACTTTTTCTTAAGATGAAATATTCCACTTTCAACATTGGAGGCATGCACTTGAAAAATCCAAACTGAATTATCTTCAGAATTTGTCAAAACATGAGACATCATATAATCATCCACAAAAACCAGTCTTTTTTATTCTACATTCTTACTAACCATGGGCCCTACACCTAGCAAGATGAAATCATGGAAAATCTCAACATCGCTCATATTATTATTATTATTATTTTATAAGTAAGATTTCATAAAAGCCGCTCAGTATGGATTTTAGGACAAGTCAATATACAATATATCACATTTTTAACCTCTCAACAAAACATGACTTGAGGAGTTCAGGATTTGCTTGACCATCTCCATTGAAACTTTACTATCAAATGTGGTTTTCTGACAGCTTCCTTACATGTGTTGCTTTCTTCCCACTACCAACTGGTAGAACCAACTCCTTTGTATTAAGGACATCAAGATTCTACTCTCGTATCCATAGAAATTAAATTCATGCATTTGTGCTTCTTTCCAACTTTCAATACCTGTATCTTCTTGGAGATTTCTGAATATACTCATTACAGGATACCTGTAAATGCATTCTAAAACATACTCCATTAGCCATGCAAAACATTCTCCCGAAATAAATCTGCAAAATTTACCACCTTATGCTGTTTTGCGTTTGTAGAGCAGAAATTTCCTCGTATACTCGTAATGTGCTTATTTGGTAATCATCATTCTATGACTCCTATTTGGTAATCATCATTCTATGACTCCTTTTAGAGCTTTTCTTATTTAATCTTCATGTTTGTTTCAACATTATATTTCGTAATAATCATTCTACAATTCTTTTAGAGCTTTTCTTATTAAATCTTTGTGTATGTTTGGAACGATATATTTCAATTTTTTTTTGATAAGTGGAACGATATATTTCATTTGATCAACCAACTCACATGGTTTTCTTTTCTCCCAAATAAATTTTTTTTGTTCTTAATTATCGTGGGCATACCTTAATAATCATTTTATTTTGCTTTTGCCCTTGCTACTCTTGTCACGTGTAATTCTTCAAATCTTCCTTTAGCTTCTAACTAGTATTTTTGTTTCATCATATTACCTGTCGTTTTATATATTTGTGCTGAAAAGTTGTAAAGAGATGGTGGGATTGGATGGGGGAAAAAATAAAATTGGTAAAGCAATAATCAGGAAATAACTAGCCACATGCTGGGAAATTCTCTTATATACAACTTAAATGACGGTGGAAATTCTTAGGGAGGCCATAGCTGATAGATGGACTCTAGGATTTTCAGATATTCAGAACAGAGATAGTATTAAAGATTCTAAATTCTCAATTGTTTTCAACAAGCTAATTTGCATGCTTGTTTATCTCATTCTTATCCAATTTTTTTTGTGGAAGATTTTGGCCATATTACGAGACATGTTCTATTTTTAGGATCTTTATAGTAAATCACAGAAAAGAACCATATTGGTCCACGTCTCTTTATATGTGTGTGTGTGCACATACGTATGCACACATCCATTTTTTGCACATGTGCGTGTATAGCTTGTCAAGTTCTGTCGTTACTATTGATGGCTAAATTTTCTCCTCCACTTGCAGGGACTAGCCTTTTCAGCTTTGAATTCCAAGTTGCATAATATAAAGGTGGATGAATCTAGTATCAGTGCAGAGATTCCCTGTAGGTCAAAGTGGATCAAGACTTGCATTCTGAAACACTGTAGCGTTTTGAGCTATAGAGTTGAGGGGACTGGTCTTGGTGCTGCAAGAAGATCCTGAGGATGAGAGGCATAATCATATACCTTATGTCAGATATTTTATTGGAGATGGCAATAACACTTCCTTGTGGTTTGACTCTTGGCACCCTTATGGTATTATAGCTGAAGCCAAAGGTGAAACTGTCATCCATAGTGGTTGAAATTAATTCAAGGTGATAACTGGTTTTGGCCTAATGCAAAGATTGAGGGTGATCAAAGAGCTTGCTGAAGATATCCCACCATCAACTCTCAAGGGTTGGCTCAAGTGGTTAGTCACTTGGGCTTCATGAAACATCAAGGTTTAAGGTTCGACTCCCCTTGAGTGTAAACAATTCCTTTGGGTGAAATCCTGAGTTTTACGGTCCTGTGTAGAGGAGTTGCGCTTTACACGGTGTCCTAGGGAATACCCAAGAGATCCCACCATCTCTGCTTGATTAATACTGTGGAAATCTGGCTTGATCCAAAACCTTAGTTGTGTAATTTTAGGGAGAAAATGGATTCTACTCATCTCTTTTTACAATGTTGCTTGGGCATGGACCTTGAGGAAAACCTAACAGAATACTACCTGCTAAATTGGTCCTACATAATTTGGTCCTCTGATGAGAATAAATTACTATTTTGTGGAAAGAGAGGAATCAAAGGATGTATGCTGACAGCTACAAAGACTGTTTCTCAATCACTGAGCATGGCCCTTGTTTGATTGACTCCCAGCTTGTGATTATCCCTCTTTCGTAAAGCTTGTAAAGTCTCTGTTTCTGTCCCGAGGCTGATAGGTGGTCTAGGTTTTTTTTTGGATATGTCGCTTCCCTTGGGGGTTAAATGAATAATGATAATAGTAAATAAAAAAACTTAAATTCATAATAAAAATTAATTGATATGTATATATATTTATATATGTTTTGAATCACAAATGTATATGTATATGGTTCTTGTTCAAATTAGATTGTTACATGTGGGTTTTGGTGTACAACTTTTCAAGGTATATCGGTCTGTGTATATGGTGGTTGGTGGAGAGAGGGGTTGGTGGAGGAGGTTGAGAAGACAGAGGGATGGTAGTCATGGTTAGAGTGTGGGGGTGTAAAGGGGGAAGAAAAGTTAGTGATAAAGATATGGAATGAAAGAGAAGAGAGAGAATAAATATAATAATGAAAAGTTTTTTATTTTTTTTAAAAATTATAATAATGGTGAGTTGTTGAACTTGTGCCTCAAAACACTAGTTTTAACTTTTAAGGCACAAGCCAAGACCACAGAACCTTCTCAACAAGAGGGGATTCAAACTCATGAATGGTACTATATTTTACCAGCTTATGCACTTGAGTGGGGAACTCAGAATGGAGAGTGATCCATTCCCCATTCGAGTAGGGAACTGAACACTCGAATGGAGAGTGATCGAGTCACCATTCTGTTACCAAATTATCATCTTATATATTTAAAAATTAATTATTATTTTTTATTTTTTTATTATTTTTTTTTCCTAGCAAAGAGAACACGATCCGTAAGAACATGTACAATCATTTTGAATCTCCAACATAAAAAGTTGTACCACTTGAATTAAGCTTTTCATGGTCTATTTAATGGAACCTTCATTTTTCGTTTTGCTAACTTATCTCTACCCTAACAAAACATATATCAATCTACTCAATTTTTTTTTTTTTTTTAATAAGTATATATCAATCTACTCATCTTCTTCATTCATTTTTGTATTACGAATTCCAAACACAACAAATAGTTATTTTCAGAATTATTTTGATCTTAAATTGTTATCTTTTATATATTACTATAATCTTCATTATCATTAAATTTCATATATTTTATTTTAATTACTAATCTTTAAATTAATTCACCTTAATATCATCGACAAATAATAGGCACCATTGTGTAAAATTACTGTAAGAATTGGATTTATTAGTGATTCTTAGTGCACATATGATATTATGGGTTTGGTCTTTGCCTACTATTTTACTTCACTACATAGGCCACTAAAAATAACACGTTCTGACCTTTGTTAAAAACCATTAGAATTGTAACAAACGCCATTGAAGCCCACATATATAGGAGTCATTTTCTTTGGCATTAAAGTATGTAGCATTAACCATTGGCCCAAAACAGTGGAAAAGCATATATGACTCAAATATTTCACATAAAAACACACACACACACACACACACGCGCATATATATATATATATATATATATATATATATATATATATTTCACATCATTCATGATACAAATTTTCTAATTGCAATTTAACAACATATGAACAGCGAAGAGGGCCAAGTATTTGAAATATGGACTAGCATTCCAATTCATTTTGGGTCCAGTATTTTTGGTGCAATTAATTTGAAAATGATATATCATATAACAACATTAAATCGGGAATGTAGTGGTGTAAAAATGTTACATTCTCGATTTAATAGTGTTATAATATTACCCGTGTCTTATATTATTGAAGTACATGTGTTGAATAAATATTGCATCTTCGGAATCATCTGACAATGATTTATAGATGTCGGCAAAGACTTTAGTGGAACAACAATTGCAATAAAATGTTTCGTACCACTAGGATTACAATAAAATGTCCATCTAATTCATTTCAAGTAATTAATTCAGAAATAACTAAATATAAAAATGCAAATTAGATAGCTTTTAAAAGGATAAGTTGTACACTTAAATTAAATAAATTTTAAGTGATTAATATTTCATTTATAATCATCATCATTACCTTAATATCATATGAAAAGTTCAACCACACGAATAATTCATCTTTTATAATATTTAGCCTTTATTTTTAATAACCTCATTTACAGTTTACTAAAGCTCTACCTATCTTCCTGGCTATGCATGCATCCCCCAAGATTTTGTTGTTCTAGGTATACAAGATGCCATTGTATTTCAAGTCCTCGAGCTCAGCCTATTGAATGCAGTCTCCAAAGTCGGACATTGAGGAGCTCCACTTTTGTGATCCACAAAACCTATCATTTGAACTAGTGCTTGCATTAGAGTCTCCCATGATGATCCAAGGGGGGTGGGAGAATAAATTTGAGTGGTTGATGATGTCACTCCAAAGAGTCACTCTTTCATTTACATGATTTGAAGCATAAACAAAGGAGCACAAGAATGTCAAATCTTGGCCAGTAATGGAGACAAAGCAGTGAATGGCTTGCTTGTTGATGTTAATGATATTGAGATCAATGGAATTGGGGTTCCATAGTATCCAGGTTCTCCCAAGATGGGAGAAGTTGTAATTGTGGGCAATGGACCAATGAGGAGTTATGAAATGATGGATAACTGCTATATTGTCCTAAGACACTCTGGTCTTTACTATAGATATAAGGTCAAGCTTGTTTTTAAAGATAAGTTTCTTTACCTCTATCTTCTTAGAGGGCTGATTTAGCCCTCTCACATTCCAAGTTATAAAGGAAATCATTTAAGGTTAGAGGTGAGAGAACCTCTAAGATACCTGTGGCCCTTTGGAGGGTCTGAAGATATCAAAACTAGACTGTGGCTTTTACTTTCTCTGGCAGCCTTTTTTAAGCTTCTAACTGTCAATCTGTTATTTGTTGTATTTGCATTTGCAAAAGGAGATGATGATGATGGCTTACTCAGGTTGCAGCAGTGCCTTAAATTGATGGTACACTGTGGGTTATTATCACAATTGGAGAGTGGGGTGAAAGGGGTTACACAATAGAGGAGAAGAGATTGCCTGTTGTTTGTTTCTGTGATGTGGATGAGTTTTCCTTGTTGGGGATAATTAACTCCCTCCAACCCACTTAACGGTTGGTTGTTGTTGAGAGTTAAATTCCCCCTTCATCACACACAGCTTACATCACATTAACACAAGCATATATAGAGATAACAATCATACACATTCACGTACAATACAATATTTTACATGGTTCACCCAACTCTAGGGTTACGTCCATGGGAGAGAGAGATTTCACTATTATGAATCAAGGAAGAGAATATATAACCACATGTCAAAACCCCACTTACTCATCATCTTTTTTTAAGGCAACATGTATACACTCGGAAATTACATATACTCTCCCCTCTCTTCACAACACTCACCCTTAAACCCCTTACATATTTTCTTTCTTCTTTCGCTCTCTCTAAACCCCTCATACCCATCTCTATTTATAAAGTCTTCAAAACTCAATTCCTTATTTGACATGTAATGACCCGGTCATTTTATTCTTTTTCATTTTTCTCCATTTTTACGGATTAATTTTTTTCATTGAAATTTCCCTTCGCATAACCTCACTCTTCGTGCTCAGAGTTGGTTTTTGACTCCCCGTGCTTTCATTCTTGTTGTTTTTCTTGAAAGGCGTACCTTTATTTTTGGAGAAAAGCTCGCCGGTAGTTTCTTTTTCCTGAAAGGGCGTGGATGAAGAAATTCTTCAAAAATATTTTTGTTTCTTGGAGTATTTTTCATAAATATCTTTTGAAGATATTTTGGTTTAGGGGTTTCTAAAAAATATCTTTTGGAAGATATTTTCATTTAGGGTCACTTGTGCAGTTTTCCTTTTGTGTAAGGGCCTTTGTGCAATTGATGAAAGTTAATTGCTAAGTGTCTCCTTGGAGCTTGAATCCTCGTGCGAGATTCATTTTCACATTTCATCGAGTCGTGTACTCTTAAAATTGCTTTGCAATCGAACCCTACAATTTTCGGGTTTTCGGCCCCAGTTAGCGCCAAAATTGTTTAGGGCATATCTCTCTGCTCGGGACTCAATTTTCAACGCCATTTCTTTCGTTGTTCATTTTTTCTCATTACAGTTTTTTTTTTTTTTTATTTTTATTTTTTTATTTTTAATTCATGGAGTTTTTCCGTTTGAACGCGTCTGCTCAAATTTCACTTTTTCGGACCCGGCGGGACCCGTTCGAAGCACTTTTAGGATTTTTCTATAAATAGGGTGACATAAAATGAAAAAGTGGATTTCTCTCTCTCTCTCTCTCCCCTCTCTTGGCCGGCATCCATGGCAGCCCAAGGGCCTGCCAACTTCTCTCTCCTCATTTGAACCTCTTCCCTCGTGATAAACGTCATAGTGCCTTAGGCTTTATTGTTCACCTTGACGAGGCATTCGATTCCAACCGATTGGAATTCCGTTTTGGCCATTTTTTGAGTTCGGGTTTGAAGCCAAGTTAGGATTTTGGTAGGACTTCCTTGGTGTTTAATGATCACCTTGTTGTCCTTGACAAAACCCTAGAGTTTCGTCGGATTCGGAGCGATTTCATTTCGGTCGGGATTTGTGATTTCATCACAAAATGAGGTATAGGATGTTATAAGTTTATATTTGAGTTGTATTGATTGTTTTATGAGTTTATACAACTTGTATACATGCTTTGTATTAATCCTAGAATTTAATTTAATTATTTTCTATGTATAGGATTTAATTCTAATGATTATATATGGTTTAGAATTAAATTCTAGCATGCTAGTAAATTAGACATTGGTATGTTGAGTAACACATATTAAATTGGGATTATTTGAATAAGAAGTGTAACTTTTATTTAATAATTTTCCTTAATGAAAGTTTAATTTACATAGTTGTAACAAGTATGAAATCAACTTGTAATGTAATATTAAAATAGGCCTTGGCATGTTCTCTAACCTATGTTAAATTGAGAGCATTTGGATAAGTTTAGAAATCTAGAGATTTTGAATTAAATGAATTAATTAAAATCTAATTAATGGTTCAATTAGTTTGATTGAGTTTTTAACTTGATAATGGTAGTGACTTGGGCTTGTTCACTTGTATATACCAATTTGGGGCCATTTGGAGATACTTTAGAATCTAGAGATTTAATTATTGTATTTTAATTAAATCATTTTTTGTTGTTTCAATGATCCAATTTAGTTTTTGAGT